CTGACCACTCTGGTCTTGAACATATCCAGGAATGGGGCTTCTTTGGGCATCCTGTGCCAGTGCCTCACCACCCTCATAGTGAAGAATTTCCTTACTATTTCTAATATAAATCTTTTAGTTTAAAAACATTTCCTGTTGTCTTATCACTACGTGTCCCTGTAAAACATCTCACTCCAGCTTTCTCATAGGCCCCCTTTAGCTATTAGAAAGCCACAGTGAGTTCTCCCTGGAGCCTCCCCTCCTCCACGCTGAACAAGCCCAGCTCCCTCAACCTTTCCTCATAGGAGAAGTGCTCCAGCCCTCTGAGCATCGATATGGCCCTCCTCTAGACCTGCCCCAACAGTTCCACATCTTTTTTGTGTAGCTGGCCCCAGGACTGGACGCAGTATTTCCAGGTGGGACCTGGAGAGTGTAGCAGAAATCATTTCCCTTGCTTTGCTGCCAACCCTCTTGATGCAACCCAGGTTGTAGTTGGCTTTCTCAGTTGCAAATGCACACTGCTGGCTCTTGTAGAGCTTCTCATCAATCAACACCCCCCAGTCCTTCTCCTCAGGGTTGCCTCAGTCTGTTCTCTGCCCTGCTTGTGTTTGTGCTTGTGACTGCCCTGACTCAGGTGAAGGACTTCATAGTTAGTTTTCATGTATTTCCAACACTGTTCAGCAGTAGGCATGCCTGGTAATACCAAAATAAGTTATATTAAGAATGAGATGTAATATATTGTGCATTTTGGACACATTTGGGTCTACTGTACTTCTGATTTGTGTTAAGTCACTTTTCATAAAAGTACTGCTTGGAGAGAAAAGGAGAAAGTGTTAATGAGAACAACAGGATGTGAGTGTTTAGGTAATTTGTAAAGTATGATGTGGTCTGAATTTAATTCGTCATATTTGTTCTCACTGTTCTGCAAGAAAAATGGATCGCAGTTATGATCTGGTTTTAAATGGGCTTCAGTCAATCAGGTGAGTATAATGATGTAAAACTGAAATAAAGAGAGTGATAGCATTTATCAAGAGAAGAAGGAATTGAGTTTACTGAGAATGCAATATGCCCTCTAGCTCACTAACTTAATCTTGAAGGACATTTTTTTTTTTTTTTTTAATGTGGTGTGATTGCTAATGTGAGTCACAGCAATATCCATTAGATTTGTTTGGGAACTGTACAAAATGCATGAAATTCAAATCCAGTTGCAGAATGGTCAAGAATTTTGATTCATTCTGTTATTTAAGAAATGTAATAAGTATCATTTGTAAATTTCTGGTATCAGATAAGTTTTGACTATCTCAGGAAGTCTGGTATATTGATTGTGATCTAACATCAGTGTGAAGAAATGGGTGAACTACAGAGATTTTGAGATGGCATTTATTGTAAACCCAGATTTGTTTATGTTTTGCAGTGAAACTCATACAGCAAAAGCACTGTTTAGAAATCAAGGGCACACCATATCCTGCAATCAGGTATTTCTTTCTCCTGCTTAACATGTGGCATCTGTGAAGGGGTTAACAGGTATAAAGCTACTGCTTGGAAGGTGTCCTTGGGACAGAAGTGACTCAAGGGGGAAGGAAGATGCAGTGCTTTTAACATAATATCTTTTTAGGGAGTCTTGGCAGAACATTGTCTAGTGGCATCTGAACACACAGGATTTGTCTTCCTCCTCCTGGCAAGCATAGCTTCACTTACACTTAGTTGAATTAATATCTTCCATTTAATACATGCAGTTGGTTTTCTAATTCCTCTCCTGAACTCTTCAATACTAGTAATATAAGTAACAGGCAAAACACAGAACGTGTCCCAGGGACTGAGTTGAAAAATAAAAATAGAGACAAAGGTAACTTTTTGACCAGTTAGACTTGACTTCTGTACTGCAGTGGTAACTTCCTTCTCATAGGACATTGCATTTTGTTGCTTGTGTACCACTAGTTGGAGAGGACGATCAGCTTTCTCAGAGCAGTAATTTGTTAGAGTGAAATGTTTGCTTGTGTGTGCATCTTGAAGGCCATTGCTGTCACTGATGTGTTGTGCAGACACATTTGAGGTAAAACATAATAATTATCTTTCATGGCAAAAACACAAAAGTTTCCAGTTACTGCTTGAAAATACCAAAGCACAGCAGAAGCTGCAATTTGCTTTCTCCATTTCAGTTATCAATACTCTAAACGTCCCTTTCCTTATTAGATGAGAAAGGCAGACATGTCAAATCCTAGTGCAGTAGCATGTTAAAAACAAACGAACAAACAAAAAACTTGTGACAAGGTTTTTACTTTTCCATTGTAATACTCAGTGAATCTCTTTGCAGAACAGATAAAGAAATTATTGAAAATATTATAGCTTGTGAATTCCCATTTAGACACTAAGTGATTAAACTCCTCAAAGTCCATTCAGAGCAGTTCCTAAGTCTTTTGCAAAACAGGATTAAAAATCTTTTACTATTTTGTTTGGAAAAGCAATGATGGAGAATATGACCAAAAAAACAGTGATGTGCATTGTGTATCACATTGAAATCCTACCATAAGAGAAAAATCTTTGGTGTAGAAGAATCCACCCTTCTCTTTACAACAAGGCTCCCAGAAACTGCAGTCATAAAAGTTGGAGTCAAGTTTAAACAGGAGCCGTTCATTAAAAGAAATGGCTACTAATTACAGACGAATAGATTTCCTATGCTACTTTATAGCTTTTATTTTCCAGGGAGTACATCTTGTCTGGTTTGCTTGCACTGATGTCTGAATAAAAGACCACAAGTCACTACATGGATTTCTGTCTACTTTTCAGCTGTGAATAAATGGCCCTCCCTAATGCAGAAGTGGTCAGTTTTAAATCTAGCAATGATACTGAATGAAAAAAAAACATAAAATAAAAGCAGAGTTCTGTTCGTGTCCCTGTATAAATTGCCAGTAAGGGGAATTAAGTAACTGAGGTATCACTGTTGTGGCAAGAAAATTTCCTGCAGATGAAGGAACGAGGTGGTAGACTTAGTAAGGTACAAGCTATTTCACTATGCATAGGGTTTTGTAGGAATGCTGTAAACATCTAGCAGTACTCAAATGATAACAGCAATGCAATGGACTTAATCTAGTCCTTGCCCATGTGCTGCATGCATTAGCACAAGAGTTTGTTGCCATATTTGTTACTCCAGAAGTCAATCTTGTTTAGAACCGTGGTCCCTCAGCTGCAGCTGTAGACCTTTTACAGCACAAGAATAATCCATGTTGTGCTATTAAAAACTGGATTCACTTGAGTATAAATGAGCTGTATTTCTAACAGTAGATTTAGGAATTACTTACCTTTTTTTTAGACAAGTGTGCTCTGAATAAGTGGTGAGCATAGAAACATAATTGTTTTCTTTGACCTTGTGCCCGTTCCTGCTCTTCCCTAGTGACCTGTGTCCTATGCTTCATCAGCAGACACTGAGTTTAGCTGTAATCTCTGAAATATTACTGCCTTATGCTTTTTGTTTGTGCATGTTGTCAGGATCTCTCAGGAAAATAAATAAGTAAAAACTTTCTCATACAAATTTTGAATCAAAGCAATGCTTAAAAATGTATAAATAGGTATTTCCCTGAAAACTAAGCATGTTTTACTTTCCGCTTTACCTCACATATGTCTGTGTTTTCCCTCTTTTGTGCTAGAAACATTGCGAGTGGCCACATGGTCAGCCGGATGACAGAAAAGATCTGGATAAACTATAAGAAAAATACACCTCTAAGAAAAAAATTAGCAATACTATGGCTCTTAAACAGATTTGGCTATCTGTAAGGCTGGAACTTGGGGCTTATTTTTGATGCACTGTCTCACAAATCTCAGATCACTATCAAAGCCTCAGGATCTTGTAGTTGATTGACCTTAGAGTTAGTTTGTTTTCTTTTGAAAGAGTTGAAATCGCCACAAACAGATTAGGGCAGGACAAGACCGGTTCATTCAGATCAGTTTTTTTTTCCAGATTATACAGCTAACTTCATTTGAAATGACCAAAAGATTTAGAGAAGGTGAAGGTCAAATTCCAAATACTATTTTGTTTTGCAACACATTCATTGTACCTTACAAAAAAAAAAAAAAACCAAAAAAAAAAAACCAAGCAACTAAAAACAACCCAAACAACCTCCTCCTCAAATGAGTGATTCAGGTAAAAAGAGGTATTAAGAAGACATTAAACCAAGCTACTCTGCAGAGCACAAGCTCATCTCTTTCTTTCTTTGGAGGTCACCTTGCCAGTCTTGCTTCCTGGTGCTTCAGTCTTGTCTTGCTGTGCATGCACCTTGCAGACTGGTGGCTACCACCACCATGGGCATGAGTCTCTGCTACTATTTCAGCCCTGTGCTGGTGTGAATATGGAAATTCTCCATTTGCATTACTAATCCATGATTGTTTATTCCTATTATTTATACCACTTTGTGGATGTTCTTTGTATTGTTTATTATGTGTCCCTTCGGAACAAATAAACATTTTAATTATGTTTATTTTAACATTTTTGTGCCAAGATAAAATTCAGACTTGTGATTGGCCCAGATGGAGAGATTCTGCTTACTGAGTCTTCTCAGACTGCTCATTAACAGCTGAAAAATAATCAGTTCTAAAGTAAGGGAAACCTCAGGAGGCATATATAATTATTATTTTTTTAAAAGCCTCAGGTTGAGTTGTGGTATCAGCTTAGATAATGAATGTGTTCAGCCAAGCAATCTTGGGGCAAGGGAAGATATTGGCAATGAATAATTTAGAGCAACCTTCTGAAAAAGTATTGTAATAGTGAGGATTTGGGAAAAGTGGGATAAGTGTGGAAAAAAGTATGACCTTTTTCTCTTTATAGCTCACGTACCCCACTTCATACCTGCTCCCTCATGTCTGTCTGTTTTCAGGGATAGAACCTTATCTCCAGAAAGAATCTGGAGCATTTGTGTGTTCCAGCTGCTCTGAAATAATTCCAGGTGACAACGATTTATTACAAATCAGCATGATTTTCGTCCCTTCTTTGTTCTGCCCCCCCAGCTGCAAATTCCTAACCTGATTGCCAGTTAACAGTCTGGCCAGCCTGAAATAAACAAGCAAAGGAGCTTTCAGCAGCAGCTGCAGATGTTTTGGTGTGAGTTCTTCAACTTGAACCATTGTGAAAAGGAGCTGTTTATTTAATTTTTTGCAGTTGTTTTCCTGGGTCATCTGTTTTATAGGATAATTGTCTTAAGGAATTAACATCTATGGAAAAATTAGGGCCTTGTTAAGACATAGTGAATACAAGTTTTGTCAAGAATAAAGGCTAGAAAACGGAACAAGGGGACTCTAACTTGACTTGTCTTTGTCCTGGGCAGACTGCTTCTGTTCTTCTGTCTATTGAAGTTTGAGATGTGATCCCTAAGTGTTTTGAGCTCTGTGGAATAAATGCTCAGTAAGTACTAGGTGTCATTATTTTAATCATTTTTTTTAGATTCTGTATGTATGCTGTCCTATTGAAATAATACTGGCATTTCCTCTAGAGTGCCTGGGAAGTGTACTATTTCTCTTTTCAGTGTGTACAAGCTCTTTTGGGAAAGGCCCTGTGTCAGAGCCATAGTGGATCAGACATGTCTGAGCACTGGGGATCTGTTTCTTACTACCAGAACAGCATTTGGTTGCTGAGTCGTTGAGAACTCCTGAAACCTTGTACCTTTGTTTATATTCCAACTGTTACGTTGCTTAGTGCATTTGAAAGTGTGATGCAGGGGACAGAACTTATGGGCTTTTAGCTGCAGGTCCAAGGTACGGTAGTTCCATAGTGAGAATGGTATTACATTTATTTAAGCTGATATATTTTTGCGTGTGGACATGTGTATATTGACTTAAGTATGTTTTAAGTCCATTCAGCCTGCACCTGCTAAATTGCAGAAAGCGAAAGCTGCCTTCAAACACTCAATATGGATAACAGAACATAAGCCATGAATTTATTCTGTTAACGGCCTCCAAATGTTCCCAGATGTGCCTTCACATTTTGTCTATTTCTTCTTAATCAGTAATTTGAGAATTGTACAGCAAATTAGGATAAAGGATTTCAGTAACCATAACTAGACGCGAAACTCTTATGAAGATGACGTGCTTTTAAATCCCTACAGATTCAGAAAGAGTGGGAGAAAAAAGAACTAATTTCCTGAAGACTTTTTCCAATCAATCTGTGCAATCGCCATTCAACTGCGCTCCCATTCCCATAGGACAACTTCCCCAGACAGCACATCTGCAGAGGTACGTGGTTACTGTGCTGTGCCCAGAGCACCCTCAGCTGTGACTTCTACTTCATCTCCCTCAGTTGAACTACTGGCAGCTATGGAAGGCTAATAATGAGCAGGTTGCCATAAGTTTTTTAGAAGTGGCAGGAAACATCTTAATGCAACCGTCAGTCTGTGCACGTACTGTAGGCTTGCTCTCTCTGATAGCCTGGAGCTTAAAAGTGCTGTTCTTTGCCAAGGAAGAGGCGGCTATCTTCAATCTGGCATCTGAAAATGACAAAGAGATCTATCAAACAGAATTAGGAGCACAGATCCTTCCTGTTCTGTTTAGCTTTGTAATTCAATCTGAGTCAAACCAGAGGCCTTGCCTGAGGAGAAGTGCTCCTTCAAATCTAATGAAGCAGTCCTCCGATTTACCATCATGTGAACATTAATATGTAAACTTCCTACGTATATAAAAGGTATAGGGCCATATTGTACTGACAGGAGTTATACTTCAAAGTATGCTGACTTTGAAGCTCTAGTTCATGCTCTCTGTAGACTTCTACGGCAACTTTACTGTTCGTCCTTTGATGCCACTCCAAGGGTCCTGACTGAATTTCCAACCCATCCCTAGGACTTTGTCAGGTTTTATGAGAGATTGTGAAAAGCTTCCCTGAGCTGCACGTTGCATGGAAGTCTTGAGAAGTTTCCTTATAACTTCATTGACTTGTGCCATAAATGGTCTTTCTAGACTTCTTTTAGAAACTGTTTAATGTTTGCTGTCCTATCCTGAATGTGACCTGTGATAAGACTATCTGGACCTCCTGCTGTTTTTTTTTTTTCTTTTTTTAATGTTCTCAGATAATTTAAAAAAAAAAAAAAATCTGTAGCATGTACATGTGATATGATAAAGATGTAAAAGAAAGTAGTATAAAAGAAGAACTCAGAATTCTCTGACTCAACATAAGTTTTCTATCATATTCTATTCTTTTTTACAGACAGTTGTTTTCCACCTGTTGTATTCCAAAATGCATCTTACCAGGGTCGCTACAACTGAGAATGCTTTTATGCTATATATTTACTTGAGAGGCTCTGGGTACTGTTGCTGGGATAAGACACTTAATAACTTCCCAAAAATGGCTCATGAGAAAAGTCATTGACCAAAGATATCTTGATCTGACTTCAGATGTTTTATTTTTCATTCTGCCTTGTTTCTCATCCACCTTTGTTTTCCTCTGTATCATCTGAACATTTCTATTGCAATTTCTTTGCTACAAACTGCCTTTATTATTTACATTCAGTACCTTCTAGAAAGATTCTAACCTCTGTTGCGTTTTTTGGGGGTACTGCTATTAGAAATACTGAAGTCCTTCTAAGGAATGCTTTTTAGCCTATAGCATCCTATGAATTTTTGTCAGTTTGCAAACATTAGCATGTTTTTCTTGTGACAGATAAGGATTGAGACCTGGCAAAATATCAGCTACTGGAAGAGGTACCTGAATGACTTCTTAGAAGACTCAGTGACACTTCTGTGGGCACATTTAGAAGATAAATCTTTGTCATATCTTTTGAGTTTGGTTTTGTTTGCTATACAGTTGAGATTTAAAAATGAGCATATAAAAAGTCATGAAAGGTACAGAACCACTTAGGGATGTTTTGTGGTAATATAGCAGAGATGCTAGAATATCGTATAGTAGAAATGCTGGGAAAAAAAAAAATTGTGAATGCTTCCTAAAAAGGGAATCATTTGGCTGAAATCTCAGGCTGGTAGAACCTGCGTAGGGTTGTGCATTCTTAGGAAAACTGCTTCTCCCATGAAGTTACGTATCAGTACAGATGGTTAGAAACAAACTCAAGCTGACTTACAGAGTTCAATGTTTGGCACATTTCAGTCTGAGATTCAAACTCTGCTGTGAGCATTCGTTACCAGAACTATGTTCAGGCTATAATGACTGAGGCATTGATTTCATTCCCTAAATTAACTTTTCACAGCTATTTTCCAAAATCTTTGGGGAATAATGAAACCTGAGTTTCTACATAGAATGAAACAAGATAGAGGAAAAAATACTGCAAGCAATGAAGTCTAACTTAGTAATGAAACTATTTAGTGCAAACTTTCTTGAGTTCACATGTAACCATATCCAGCCATTTCATGTTGTTTTAACATTCTTTTCATAACCTAGGAGCTACTTAAAAACTATGGTACATAAATGAAGTAACGTGAGTTTAATTTTTTTCTGTACAGATAGCAGTGAAGTATTCCTTCTCATCTGTAACGGGGGAAATTCTGGGATTCTCTCCTTTACCCTCATGCTGTTTAGCTGAGTAATTTTCCAGTAATTCAGGAGCTGGCAGCAGTGAAAGGCTGCAGCAGGAGCAGCATGATGCTCTCACAACTGAATGACTCCAGCATAGGCAACAGGCCAGTGCAGGACAACTGCACTGCAAAAGTGACCTGATGAGTGTCCTGAATGTGAACAGCAGGCTGATCTTTCCACTGTTGAAAGTGCTCCACGTGCCTTTGCACCCCCTGTTTTTCTTGCATGCTGCCTTTGAAGCCATGTACTATCCACCATGAAGTCTGTTGTTTGAGACTGTGCTGACTTCCCATCTAATTATTTTACTTTGGTCTATTTTCATGACTCTTAGAAGCAGAATGCTGCAGTTAAAAAAAGAAAACTGAACTGTCCAACCCTTTTTCTGTGCTGTAGCTTTCTTTGGAGATGATTGTCACTGATGGAGCATGATGCTATGGTATTTGACTGTCTTTTTCAGCAGTTACCCTCTTGTTTTGTTTTGATTCTGTGTATGTATTAGACCTCAACGCTTCTGTGTTCTCTAGTGTTTCTGTCAAGAACTATTTCTTAGTTCGTATGCATGCTTGAGTTGCAAATCTGTCTTGATGAGATTGGCATGCTAGCAGTAGATTCTATGAATGCACATGTTTTAAAAGCAATTTCACCTGAGGATAACAGCAGGCTGCTGTCTGGTTTTGAGATGGACAATCCTTGTACAGCCTAGAGATTTTCAGTGTAGGATTAGAACGTTACTCAGGCTGCTCTCTTGGTGCTGTGATTCCTTGTTGGAGTTGAAACTACCAAACGTAAAAATCCTGGGCTGGAAGAACTACTTGATCTAAAGTTTTCAGCTTAGAGATGGATAGTTCTACTTCTTGGATGCTTTTACCATTATGAGAAAGGTAGGCCACAGGCTAGAAAGAAATACTGCGTAACTGAGTGAGAGTGCTCAGGGTATGAGAAGCAGGTAAAAGCTTTTCTCTTTCTCTGTCAGCACTTAAGGTGTTGTCAACACAGAAACACTTAGCTCATCTCCCTACAAACATCAGGTGCAAATGTTACCTGAAATGGCAACTGCAACTGGGAAGTCCTGCTGGTTTCAGTTAGCAACTACATCTGAAATGTAGCAAGGGAAGCCTGTTTATTCTATTGTCTGGGTATGTGGATTCCACTAGAGGTGGTAATACAGGCTGTTTTAAGAAGACTAACCTTTATAATTGTCTTAAAAACAAAAACAAACTTACAAAAAAAACCCACAACTGCATAGCTGCTTTTATGGTACCCTTCCAATTGGCCAGCACTGCATCATAACATACAGGTCTGTCTCTGCTCTTTGCTATTCTATATGTTTTTTGATAATATAATGAAAAAAAGATGTATAGATCTTTGCTTCTGTCTTTACCTGTGTGATAACATGTGGGTCAAAGGTTAAGCTGATCTTATAAAGCTAGCTGTGAAACCTGAAGTCTGTGCTCACTGATCTCGAGCTGCAGCTCTGTGTGTTTGAAAGACTTGTGGCTGTGCTGAAGTGTCTCCAAGCAATGGGCTCTGTATTCCCATTCTGTATCCATACCTAATTAACCAGAATGTGTGGGTAGCACTGTGTGACTGTGACCTGAAAGTGTATCTGCAAACAGATGATACTGGAAAATAAATCTCAAATCTTAATTCTAGATTTTTTTAATTTTTTTTTTTTACTAATGGCTTTTGCTGAATGAAATGCCAGGCAGTGCAATCGGGAGGATGAGACATTCCAGCAGAAAATAACCTTGGAGTTTACTGCTGGTTGGCTCTGCCACTGGCCTTGCCATTTTAACCAATTAAGTCAGGATCTTTTGTGAGTTAAGAATGCAGCCAACTGGGACAACATTATCTGTTAGTAGAGGTCTTAAACTACCTCACGCAGTGTATTAATTCTGTTTTTCCAGCATTCAAGCTCCTGTGGAATAAGAGAACACTGAAAGAATTTTCAGTAAGAATTCTAGTTCCTTGAAAAGATGGGCAAAAATGTTGTGTTTGTCAGTAACCTCAGTCCTGGAAGTAATGAATTCTTAAAAATTTTTCAGGTGAAAAACTTTATACTACATCCATTTCAGATGGTAAAGGTGTGAAAAGACTGAAACCAGGGGTTACAAAATAGGAAATAGTGAGCAATCTTAATAATAGGTGGTGGAAATGTTTTGAAACGTAGGGAGAGTTTCTAGCAGTTGCTGGCAGAGGGGGCTGTGTGTCCGTGGTTAGCAGAGCATCTTTCAGCCAGGGAAACCCAGCAGGGGAACTTTAAGTCACTCCCAGCAGTGTGGAAGTGAGAAACGTATGACCTAGAAGTGTTTGAGTGGTTTTGGTGGGAATCATGGATGCCTTTTGCTTGGGCATAAGGTGAAAGAAATGCATCAGCTTTTGCATTGCTGCTTATTAATACTACGTACATAATATTTATTAAAATAGAGATACAACAGGACAGCATTGCAAACTGTGACTGCAATAGTGTAAGACTTAACTCATTGCAAGAAGACAAACAGGAGGTACTTGTGGGAAGTTTTGCTCTTTGATGCGAACCTGGTTTTAAGGCAGTTATGTAGAGATATTGGTAGACTAATTTGGTTTCTTGTAGGCATGTTTTTGAAGAATGCTGATAAGGGCAGCTTGAAAGGAAAGTTCATGTTCTCAATTTTCTGCTTTAAGATTCCCAGAGGAATGAAGTATACATCAGGGACATTAAAATGGGATAGTCATTAAACAATGAGAAATTTGTCTGAATTGATGATATAAAGGAATCATGCTGCAGAAAGGGAGAACGTTAATTTGATGTGTGCTTCTTTGTTACTTTACAAATGAAGAGAAAAAATAAGCAACAGCTTTTGAACAAAAGAAATAAATACACAATAAGCTGTCTAGATAATGGGAAAATAGGGGTGAAATTTGCCATATGCATAACCAATTTAGTAAAATAAAAATTTGCATATTGTGAACGTTAAGCTGCTAAGAATTCTAACTTGAGTACAGTACTTGTTTCCACTTAGTTATCCCTTGATGGACTCCTCTGAAAGTAGTCCAGTCTGAATTTAAGGCTGAAAGAAATACCAACACCTCTGACTGCAGTCCATTCTGTTGTAGTCAGAGAAGCTTTAACTGCTCTCCCGAAGCCTGGAGTGTTATTTGATCCTGCTGAGAGCATCCTGGTGTTGCTGTAGCACTGTAGTGATCAGTGTGAGTTAGTTGCCCAAATATTTTCCTTGCAGATGTTTCTTCCCCTGCTGCTGATGCACGATTTACCTTAGGCTCAAATATGCCTAGGTACGTGTGCAGGGTACTGCACTCACAACCCTGGCCATGTAATGAAGCTGTTCCTGGCTAGCAGCGGCAGTGATGCGGATTGAAAATGAATGCTATTAAATTTATACAGGGCTCACATATTTCAGAAGTGAGATGCAAGGTCTGTATGTTCAAATAAACAGGCCTCACTGCATTTCTTCTGTGCGGGCTGTAGACTCCCTCTTTCTCACCCCACATGTCTACGTTAACTAAAGGCTACAGGGAAACCCACATAATTAAAAGGCACTGAGGTCATGAGCTGGTTATGAGGCAATTTAGGTTTCTTCTGCAGGCCTGCTGGGTCGATGGAGATTCAAGTCTGCTCTCGACAGGAACAATGATCTCCTATTGTAAAATATGAAGGAGAAAAACGTGATTTAGGAAAGTCTAGTGCCTCACTGAGACTTAATTGGATTTTCAGAGATGTGTGTAGCATTCTGTTTCGCTTCAGAATGCATAGGGTTTGTCATTACTGAAGTACTGCATCTGAGATAGATCACAGTTCAAGTAGCACCCCAGTATCCAGGCAAATGTTTACTCAAGTGAGAAACTGCCCTGTGGAAAGCACTGCTTGAAAAGCTGTGCTTTTCTTTGATGTATGGCTAGAGAAAAAGATAATTTCCTGACATTGTTTAGCTTCACGTTTCTGTGGTTCTCAGAAATCCCAGTTGGGTTTTACGTGTGGCGAGACGATCAGCTGGTCTTAGGGTGTGCATGTGTGTGGGATAGCAGATATCACTTACTGACCTGAGCTAGGAGCCATGCCTTCTCATACCATCCATGTGCTTCATCTCCTTAATTCAGCTTTGGTTACCCACCTGCCTAACCTGTAATGAGCCAAATACTAAGAATAACCACAACTGTGTTTCTGTGCATGTACTATATATGCAATTATGTAAATTGAGTATTTTATTTATATAATGTATAAAACAAAAGCAAAACCCCCCAAACCACCAAGAAATCACTGTCCTTATTTCTCCTTAGTTTTGGAATTGGAAATTACTGTGAACATTTGTTTTGTTACGAAACCAGGCTCAGAAGTTAGCAATACAGAGGGGCATTTTCTAACTTTTGTTCTGCTCTGTTCTGCCCAGCACCCCTCTTTTGTTGCTGAACTGCAACAAATGGCCTTTGTATAACTGAGGACATGGCACAAAGGCGTCTTAATGTTCCCATTATTTGGGAGATGCAGCGTATGCTGCTAATAGGATAGTTTTCTGACTCTTAAACCTACCTTATTTCAGCAATATATTTATTTTCTTATGCTAACTGATATTCCAGCATGATTAGACAAAATCCTTTGCACATCTGTAGGAAAGATCAAAATGCAGTTTTGTTTTCTGTGAATGTTATGAATCCATCAGAAAATGGAGAGGGCATTTGCTAGTTGCAGGCAACTTCAATATTATTTTTTCAAAAGCACATATTTTACACCTTCAGATATTCTTTCGTACTGTGATGGCGAATGTAAATTTTTTTAACTTATTTTATATTACTATATATTTTATAGTAATAAATAGTAATTCTAAATCTAAGTGGAATTAGGCAGCAATCCAGGTTTGGGTGGTGAGCTGAGGAGCTGCTTTGGCCGTGCTGTACCAAGTTGCAGCATTTCCAAGTGGATCTGAATCTTACAGGTAGTTTTCAGCCTCAGGGGAAAAACTTTCTGTTGTTATTATTGCCGTATAAGATGAATCTCCATTGTGAAATGAAGGAATTAAATACAGGAGAGGCTTCAGCACCTCCTTTTAAAAGCAAACAAAAACAACAAGAAAACCCGAAATTGTTTATTCTTTTTTCCTGCATAACATCTTAGTCTCACTGAAAGGCTCAAGGTTTCATGTGCTTTTCAGTTGAGAAACTCCTGCTGTATGCTGAGCTGGGCTGTGATGTCTTTGTGAAGGATGATGCAGCTGTTTGGCATGGGAAGCCCTGGTAGTAGCTGCTGAAACAGCTGCTTGTGGTGCTGTGCTCTAGGCTTTTGTTGCTTTTCTGCCCCAGCCTTCATCCAGAATATAATCTGGGTCCTCAGTTAGAGCTCAGAATGTTAAGTTACATAGAACTTTATACATTTCAACAGTTTATTTCATTTTCGAAGACATTTTGAAGAGTATCAGGCAACAGAATCAGATTTGTTCATCTACTTTTAAAAGACTATTCAGACTTCAGGGTTGAAGAAAGTCTGGCCCTCCCCAAATCAAAACAAGTATCTGAAGGGAAGGAAATGCAGTTTATATAGAAGGAACAGCTGCTAATTTTTTTAGTCATCCCGTAATGAAATGTGATCAGGGCTTTAGTATTGTTACTGTTGATCTCCTTTCAATTTAAACTTCTTCAGTTTGACATTTATGTTCCTACGCTTCTATTATTTTTTAACTCCGCTTTAACTAACGCTGAGTGCAAAAGAGTAACACAAAGCTGATTTTTAGAGCGATTTCGTGTGGATTCAATCTCAATTTTAGCATAGCAAGCGAGTCTCAGCCTAATGACACATCATGCAACGTGTGCCATGATTAATTTTCTTTCAGTGTTTCTGTGTAAGATGCATTTATCAATTTGTACCTCAACTGTGTATTATTAACGTTTTCACGTGGGCCAAATGTCATCATCCACCTGTGTCAAGTTTTGAATCATGGACCTTGATCCACATTTCCATTTAACGCAGCTTGATAAAGAAAAAAAGCTGCAAGACAATACGAGTAGCTGATAATACCTGAAATAGTGTTATGTGGAGGGGGTGGTGTACTGACTCTCCTCAATTCTAATGTTTCTTCCTTTATCTCTGTATAGGGTTAGAGTCCATCGATCTGTTTCCCTTTTAATTAACATCTGAATTCTTCTACAGGTGCAGGATTTGTTTTGATGTACTCCCTTGATCTTGACCCATATCTGAATAATTGAGGATTGGGTAGACTCTTTTATAAATGAGCTAATCATTATACATTAAACCCTATTAGAGTCAATTTGTTTAATTCCCAGTAGAGCTAGTAGAGTCCTTATCTGTGTCAAAACCCTCA